CAACAATATGGGTTCTGGGGCCCCATTGTGGGGAAAACAAGAATAGACCCACTGCCTCCCCAACAAGCATGTCGTAGGAGTCTACTAACTGGGGGGAGTCCCCGTGGCGTAGCGGCTAGACGGAATGTCGTGGGTTTGCTCCCTGGAGAAGCCGAACTTTTTTCAAAAATGACCTTGGCTCCAAGGTCGACCCAGCTTTTGAGTGGGTACCGGGTGCAGTCACGGGAAGTAGAGGCGGCCGGCGTGATGGTGACCACATCACCCATCTTGTGCCGATTGGTCTATAAAAATATAGGTCTAGCCCTATATGCCCTATACACCTAAAGGCGTGGAAAAGGGTCCTTTACTTTACTTTTACTACTATCTGGAGGCTTCCTTCGGAGTGCAAGGGACAACCAACTGCACACAAATAAGCCAGTAAAACTGGGGCCCTGGCACAAATCCAAAGGCCAAATGGGCGAACAACCAGGACTTTCCGCAGGAGCTCACAGCTGGTAAACAAACAAGAAAAACAGTCAGCACTCAGTAAAGGCTATCGTCAAGGCTACCCATGTCGTCTTTATTTCCCCTGTCATTTCCTAGTATTTATTTGGACAGAACTGCCCTGAAAACCCAGGCCAAATTTTCACTACTATGAATTTTACGAAAAGCTAACATTTAATTGTCCTCTGACTTCTTCAGGCAAGATAACTTTAGTCTGTCCCCTCAAAAACATGGCAATTACCTCCCAGACGTGTCGTGGTTTCTTCAGAGAAAATTAGCTTCATCAGACAACTGCACCAGAAGACCTCAATGTCGAACAATCTATCACCGTAAGTAGGATTGTATATTCTATTGATGTCTATTTCTTGTGTTCTACTTATTTTTATTCGTTTTAAATATTTCTTTAATTTTTTTAGTGTGAGTTGAGGGAACGAACGAACGAACGAACGAACAAACTTTATTTTCAAAGGGATACAAATTGGGCCCTCAGGCCTGTCTGACATTCGGCCCTTCTAAGCACTCGTTTTTCAGAGTACCAATGCCTGTTATCTAAAATGCATGTTATAGATATAGAATAAAAATATACATTATAGAATATAATACATACATCATGTGTACACAATCTTACACACTCACATATATTTATATATATATATGCTCTCACATTCTCATACATGCACACTCATATACAGACATACCTAACACATACATACATACATATATACATATATACATCTACATATTTACACAAACAGAAAAGACACACACATACATATATGGACATATATGCACACTCATTCCATACATACACACCTACGCATGCATGCATGCATACACACACATACAATCACATGTACAGACACCCACAACCACACATTTACGCTCACATGTAAACATACATACACACATATACATACACACATCAATACATACACCTACATCTTTACACACATACATGCTTACATACCTAAATACACATACATACTTATGCATCTACAAATGCATACACACATCCACAAATATGCATACATACACACACCCACATACATGCCGACACACATTACATACATGCATACACATGCATGCATACACACATATACAATCACCCATACAGATACTCACATACATACATACACTCATGCATACATACATACATACTTGCCTACATTATGTACACACATACACTCATATACAGTCACACATACTTACAACATATATACATAAATACACACACATACAAACTTAAATATACATTCATATATCCACATGCATGCATACACACACACACCCACAATTACACACTCACCCAGATAATACATACATATATACACACATATTGATACTTTTATACATACATACACATACATAATACATACCCACATACTTACATACACGCATACTTGCATACATTCATAAATACACACACATCCACATACATACACAGCTACATATACCGACAAACATCCATATACATGTATGAATACACATACACCCATAGACTTACACAGATACATTTACATAGAAACATTCTCATACATATACAGACATACATAATACATGCACCTACATACATATATGCACACATACATACATCCACATGTATACATACATACATGGACTACATGTACATGCATACACACATCCATATATACACTCAAATACTTAAACATTCATACTTTCATACATACACACATCCATACATACACTCACATACTTACACACATACATACTTTCATACTTACCTAAATACACACACACATGCATGCATACATACACACACACATACATGCATACATACACCTACATCTTTACACACATACATACATACCTAAATAGACATACATGCATGCATACACACACACATACATGCATACATACACCTACATCTTTACACACATACATACATACCTAAATAGACAAACATGCATGCATACATACACACACACATACATGCATACATACACCTACATCTTTACACACATACATACATACATACATACCTAAATAGACAAACATGCATGCATACATACACACACACATACATGCATACATACACCTACATCTTTACACACATACATACATACCTAAATAGACACACATACATGCATACATACACCTACATCTTTACACACATACATACATACCTAAATAGACACACATACATGCATACATACACCTACATCTTTACACACATACATACATACCTAAATAGACACAAATGCATGCATACATACACCTACATCTTTACACACATACATACATACCTAAATAGACATACATGCATGCATACATATACACACACATACATGCATACATACACCTACATCTTTACACACATACATACATACATACCTAAATAGACATACATGCATGCATACATACACCTACATCTTTACACACATACATACATACCTAAATAGACATACATACATGCATACATACACCTACATCTTTACACACATACATACATACCTAAATAGACATACATGCATGCATACATACACCTACATCTTTACACACATACCTACCTAAATAGACACACATGCATGCATACATACAACTACATCTTTACACACATACATACATACCTAAATAGACACACATACATACATACCTAAATAGACACACATACATACATACCTAAATAGACACACATGCATGCATACATACACCTACATCTTTACACACATACATACATACCTAAATAGACACACATGCATGCATACACACACATACATGCATACATACACCTACATCTTTACACACATACATACATACCTAAATAGACACACATACATGCATACATACACCTACATCTTTACACACATACATACCTAAATAGACACACATACATGCATACATACAACTACATCTTTACACACATACATACCTAAATAGACACACATACATGCATACATACACCTACATCTTTACACACATACATACATACCTAAATAGACACACATACATGCATACATACACCTACATCTTTACACACATACATACATACCTAAATAGACACACATGCATGCATTCTTACACCTACATCTTTACACACATACATACATACCTAAATAGACACACATGCATGCATACATACACCTACATCTTTACACACATACATACCTAAATAGACATACATGCATGCATACATACACCTACATCTTTACACACATACATACCTAAATAGACACACATGCATGCATACATACACCTACATCTTTACACACATACATACCTAAATAGACATACATGCATGCATACATACACCTACATCTTTACACACATACATACCTAAATAGACATACATGCATGCATACATACACCTACATCTTTACACACATACATACCTAAATAGACACACATGCATGCATACATACACCTACATCTTTACACACATACATACCTAAATAGACATACATGCATGCATACATACACCTACATCTTTACACACATACATACCTAAATAGACACACATGCATGCATACATACACCTACATCTTTACACACATACATACCTAAATAGACACACATACATGCATACATACAACTACATCTTTACACACATACATAACTAAATAGACACACATACATGCATACATACACCTACATCTTTACACACATACATACCTAAATAGACACACATACATGCATACATACACCTACATCTTTACACACATACATACCTAAATAGACACACATGCATGCATACATACAACTACATCTTTACACACATACATACCTAAATAGACACACATGCATGCATACATACAACTACATCTTTACATACATACATACCTAAATAGACACACATACATGCATACATACACCTACATCTTTACACACATACATACCTAAATAGACACACATGCATGCATACATACAACTACATCTTTACACACATACATACCTAAATAGACACACATACATGCATACATACAACTACATCTTTACACACATACATACCTAAATAGACACACATGCATGCATACATACAACTACATCTTTACATACATACATACCTAAATAGACACACATACATGCATACATACACCTACATCTTTACACACATACATACCTAAATAGACACACATGCATGCATACATACAACTACATCTTTACACACATACATACCTAAATAGACACACATACATGCATACATACAACTACATCTTTACACACATACATACATACCTAAATAGACACACATACATGCATACATACACCTACATCTTTACACACATACATACATACCTAAATAGACACACATACATGCATACATACACCTACATTTTTACACACATGCATACATACGTAAATAGACACACATGCATGCATACACACACATACATGCATACATACAACTACATCTTTACACACATACATACATACCTAAATAGACACACATGCATGCATACATACACCTACATCTTTACACACATACATACCTAAATAGACACACATGCATGCATACATACAACTACATCTTTACACACATACATACCTAAATAGACACACATGCATGCATACATACAACTACATCTTTACATACATACATACCTAAATAGACACACATGCATGCATACATACACCTACATCTTTACATACATACATACATACCTAAATAGACACACATGCATGCATACATACATCTACATCTTTACATACATACATACATACTTAAATAGACACACATGCATACATACCTAAATAGACACACATGCATGCATACACAAGGAGGGGGTAGGGGAAGAGTGGAATCCCCTGATAGAGATACTACAAATTGTATATTGGCAGAGCTGCTAAAACACGTCAGAACATGACCAGAATCCAAACTATAGATTGTTTTCCTGTGGGATGCAAATTTTCGTTATTTGAAGCCCCACCCTGGTTGTTGCTGGGGGCCCTGAATATAGCCGGGCCATGAATGTGGCCATACCGGATGAAAGGGGTTTCTGTGACCTTTCCACGGGTGATCCCCATCCGCATGCTGCACCTTTGTGTCACCGGGTGTTTATCGATTGCGTGATGTTCTGGTGAGGTACAACAAGCAAGCAAGTAAAAGGTCGACTGTCGAAATCATTGTCGAAATCAACACAATGGTATGCAGCTGCAATGGACAGGGTATTCTAGAACTACAAACAGCGTTCGCAGCTTCCGAGCCACATACACCAATTTTATACCTTAACTGCCATATTTCTACCATGTCCCCAGGTGGACTGGTCAGTCACGTACGTGCAGTCAATCTCAAGGACGGCAGCAATGTCCTACACTATGCCCTTCACAACTCCGATGTCCCTCAGATAATTGGCCTCTTCTTACAGCACGACCCAACGCTGGTCAACATGCAGGACGACAGAGGGGAGACGGCTCTCCATCTGGCCTGTAAATGGGAAGAAAGAAATGTGTGCACTTGATGCTGGTGAGCTAACCTCTATATTATCACCTTCTGATGTTTGATGCTGTTATGTTTAGTGTTGGAGCTTTGATTTCTCTCTGTCTCCCAAATCTGTTTCTCTCGCTCACTCCCTCTTTCTCTCTCTCTCTCTCTCTCTCTCTCTCTCTCTCTCTCTCTCTCTCTCTCTCTCTTGTGCGTGTGTGTGTGTGTGTGTGCAGCAGCTGCACTTTTCGGGTTTGAAGCTCGTAGGTTTCAACCCGAACAGAGCCAGACTTTTTTTTTTCAACCACCCTTAAATGGGTACCAGTTTATCTATACATGCATATTTGGAAACTGTGTTGTAGTAATCTGGTAATCCTAGTTTCAGCTTCATAGCAAACGGGTCACCCCATAGTTGCTCCGATCCTGCACCAACGAAAAACGCACTTAGCTCACAGTGTCACGCCATGCACTCAACTCAGAAGCTGGGTGACGAAACTATATCCTTCCAGTCTACAAATGGAGCAAAAATGCAACAGCCACCGTCTGGTGGAAGCCACAAAAAAACATTTGCCACGGCTGAATAAAATAAAAAATGGCTGTGCCTAGCGTCCATTTTGACCTGAAGCTTTATATGAGGGTTAATAAACGGTCACCCCAGCAGTACCCTCACTATTAGCTGGGGAAGGGACTTAGGACATAACGTCCAACAGCAAGCGTTGCCCCTTCAACGACCTGACTGCCTTCGTTAACGACTGTTCACCCAACAGCCATGCAGTTCTTTAGCACGAAGAAGACACCTTGAACTTGGGTTTCGGACTGCCGACTCCCTACAAGATGTTATTTTATATTTTGTTATCACAATCGACATCACTGCACATTGGGCATATCCATGCGTGCTAAGTCCTCCGAAGCAGCAGCCACTCCAAAGTACTTCTACTAATTGTACCCATAAGAAGCTGGTTATATTGTCTCCTTTCTCGGCCTCGAAGACGGCAAAGACGTGCTTCATCATGCTGCATGTCTACCGGTCGTAGCTTCAAATCCAAACGTAGCTGGACTTTGTTTTTTTTTAACTGACCTTAGTTCTGTCCCGTGAAACTCACGCACTAAAATACGCCAATACTGAATAGCGCAAATAAGACGTTAGAAGTTGTTACATATTGTTGATAGGAGACTGAGCTCCAAGCATTTGTAGCCAAAAAGTCAAAGAAGGGGGACGTGTATGTCCGAGTGTAATTCATTCCTGGTGGAGGATTCATCCCGGGATCCCACAGCTCATATGCTGGGACCTAAACCATTATCTACCCGAGCCACGGTTCTCAAGAGACTGCAAGAGAACTGGAATCAGCGTTCTTGCTGAACTTTGAAAGTGTCAATCTTTTCTGGCTCTTCGGCATTTTCTGCTGAATATTGGAATTGGTGAAAAACCGTTAATGTTCTCCAGGTTCGAGGCGATGACCGAGGTGTCTTGATGTAAAATTAGCTGTGGTTAGATATGGAGTCTAATCTTAATCAATAGTGAGTGTGAGGTCGTTAGGAGCGATTTCCTTTATATTGCATTTTGGTGAGGTCCTTTGCATTTATTCATGTTCGCTCGCAATGTCAACACTGAACCCGTAATACACCATTTTGCTACGCTTCATTCCCTGGAGTTGTTCAGTTAGAAAAGTAAAGAATTTTCTGGAAATGGATTGTTGCTGTTTCCGTTGTACAGATATATTCGGAGTTAAATTTTAAAAAAAAAAAAAACGAATTTAAATTTCTAGTTTCCACAATGACTTTTAAAACTAAAGTCACTCATTTTTTTTTTTTAACTGACCTACAAATTCGACCTACCTAAACAATCTGGGTAGGGAGGAAATTTATGAGGAAGTAAAGTTGTCTGAAGCTGTGGTAACTCTGTGTTTAGACGCCACGTCACGCACCAAGTTGTATCATTAAGACTGACATAAAAGTAAAAATCGAGAGAATAGACTTTATTGCACCGGCCTTGTTTCCCACATGGTTCGGTCTCTCTAAGCAGAATGGCTAGCTGCCTGCCTAGAGCGTCACACATAGTACGAACACCGTAGCTCCGGTGAAGACCTCCAAGGATCTCAGTCAAAACTGCACCTGTGAACTGAACGGCTCAGCTGTGATACAAACCCACGACCTCCAGAACGCGAGGCAAACGGCTTGTCATTTTCGCCATAGAGACTCTCTACAGACATAAAAACGGATCTATTACTTCCCTGACTTGTTATCTTGTGATGATATTTAAGGCAAGGCCTGATGCGAATCTCAATATCTGTACTTTTGATGGCTCTACGGTCGAAGATTTGACAACATCTAAAGCTATAAAGAAAATGCTGGAGAAATCAAAATCGATTTATGCCAGACAATTACAGTAAGTAAACAGATGTTTCTCCTCAATGTGTTTGTTTTTGCGTTATTTGACGCGCGCTCGTTGAATGTCTGCTGTTTTCTACGTGTGTGGGGGTCTCTGAAACCAAGTTGTCAGGCCGTTTGCCTCTCTATATAAAGGATCGTCGCCGGAACTACAGAAGTCGTTCTTTGTGGCACGCTATCGGCAGATGGCTAGTTGTTCTATGGAGACAGACCGAACCATGTGGGATAAATCCTGGTGCAATGAGGTCGATTCTTTTGACTTCAGCTGTTAATGTAATTTGCGTGATTCTGTCCGTGTGTTTATTGTCACCACTAGGGAAGCAAATAATACTAACAGCATATCCAACCTACTATGTAAAGTGAAGATATAACGTAAAGTATTTTACTATTGTGTGTATTGAATAGTTTCAATTGTTTTCTGTCTTCAATTGTTTTCTGTCTTCAGTTGTTTTCTGTCTTCAGTTGTTTTCTGTTGTCTTGTGCATTTTATTCTGTTTTTTACCAGTGTTTCTCTTCTTTAGCTTCTTCTACTTTCCCTCCTCCTACTTAATATTGTGTGCTGAAAGCTTCACTTGCTTTCTGTCTTCAATGATTTTGTGTTGTCTTTAGCATTTTTCAGAATTTTTTTTTTTTTACAATCTTTCCCTTCAGATGCTTCTTCTCTTCTTCTTCTCCTCCTCCGTATCCTTCTTCTGATGCTGCTTCTTCTTCTTCTTCCTCATGCAACGGTTAAATGGGTTGTTGGTACGTTGTGTTTGTTGGCTGCCATATCAACGTCCTGTCAGCACAACACATCGGATCTGAGAACATCCGCTTGAAGCCATTCGTGTTAGGAGGCAGTGGCTCTATTCTTCCGCCGCCCCGCTCGGCTCTGACACCGCCCCCCAACCCTATACCACCCAAATAAGGTTATGAAACCCATGCTTGGAATTTGGTTATGTCTTATTTTCCAGCTTTGTGAATCCCGCTTGATGCTAAATTGTGTTATTTAATTAATTAATTAGTTCTAAATCGTGATTTTTCTCTCAAGCTTTTATCTTGCTTCGTTTATTGCTTTTGATGAGAAACCGGTTTTTATTACTGTTATAAGAAAGTCAATGTTTTTAAATCTTCAAGAGCTTAAGGTCTTCATAGAGAAGTGTTCTTAAAACTTTAAATTGATCTAAATTATGTTAACATTCCTGTCATATAACACATGGTCATCATTCTTTACAAGCAGCCTATATCTGACAGAAGCTCATCATTCTTTACAAGATGCCTATATCTGACAGCTCATCATTCTTTACAGGCAGCCTATATCTGACAGAAGCTCATCATTCTTTACAGGCAGCCTATATCTGACAGAAGCTCATCATTCTTTACAGGCAGCCTATATCTGACAGAAGCTCATCATTCTTTACAAGCAGATTATATCTGACAGAAGCTCATCATTCTTTACAAGCAGATTATATCTGACAGAAGCTCATCATTCTTTACAAGCAGCCTATATCTGACAGAAGCTCATCATTCTTTACAAGCAGCCTATATCTGACAGAAGCTCATCATTCTTTACAAGCAGCCTATATCTGACAGATGCTCATCATTCTTTACAAGCAGATTATATCTGACAGAAGCTCATCATTCTTTACAAGCAGCCTATATCTGCCAGAAGCTCATCATTCTTTACAAGCAGATTATATCTGACAGAAGCTCATCATTCTTTACAAGCAGCCTATATCTGACAGAAGCTCATCATTCTTTACAAGCAGCCTATATCTGACAGAAGCTCATCATTCTTTACAAGCAGCCTATATCTGACAGAAGCTCATCATTCTTTACAAGCAGCCTATATCTGACAGAAGCTCATCATTCTTTACAAGCAGCCTATATCTGACAGAAGCTCATCATTCTTTACAAGAAGCCTATATCTGACAGAAGCTCATCATTCTTTACAAGCAGTCTATATCTGACAGAAGCTCATCATTCTTTACAAGCAGCCTATATCTGACAGAAGCTCATCATTCTTTACAAGCAGCCTATATCTGACAGAAGCTCATCATTCTTTACAAGCAGCCTATATCTGACAGAAGCTCATCATTCTTTACAAGCAGCCTATATCTGACAGAAGCTCATCATTCTTTACAAGAAGCTTATATCTGACAGAAGCTCATCATTCTTTACAAGCAGCCTATATCTGACAGAAGCTCATCATTCTTTACAAGCAGCCTATATCTGACAGAAGCTCATCATTCTTTACAAGCAGCCTATATCTGACAGAAGCTCATCATTCTTTACAAGCAGCCTATATCTGACAGAAGCTCATCATTCTTTACAAGCAGCCTATATCTGACAGAAGCTCATCATTCTTTACAAGAAGCTTATATCTGACAGAAGCTCATCATTCTTTACAAGCAGCCTATATCTGACAGAAGCTCATCATTCTTTACAAGCAGCCTATATCTGACAGAAGCTCATCATTCTTTACAAGCAGCCTATATCTGACAGAAGCTTGTCTTTCAAGGATCACATAGAGAGGGTCCGACAAGGGCCCAAAAAGGTTTTAATGCACTAAAGATCACAGTACCAATTAACATTGAGCAGAGAATGCTGTTGACACTACAGTAGCACTTAATCATCTCAGTGTGACTGATTATGGACTGGTGTTGATCACCGTCTCAAAGAGTCAGACATTGAAACTGGAGCGCATACAAAATAAAGCTATACAGGTGATCCTGGTATGTACAAGAGTCAACCCGATTGTGTGCCTGAGATAACATTCTTGCATTGCCGACTATTGTAGTGGACTAAAGGTGCTGCAGGTTAAGTCATACCTAAGAGCAGCTGCAAACAAAGAGCACCCTCTGTGTGAGGCTTTGGATGCAGTTAAGGGTCAGAGGCTGAAAATGGGAAAATCATGGATGGCTCAGGCAGAAGACACAATCAGTCAAGTATGCATGTTTGAGAATATTGAGCGAGGAGAGAAGTGTGTCAAAGTACCAGAGGGAAAAGTTTGACCTGTTTAGAGTCATGATCATAAGGCGGGGAGTGCAGAGAGTGGCCAGCGGGAGCTACGGAGGTGGAAGTCCAGCAGTTTATTCCAAAAATTCTCGTCCAGATGATCTGATTATCTATACAGATGGTTCTATTTTAAGAGGGACCTAAAGTGCCTGATGGTTCGTATCGAAAGCCATGGAAAGTTTTTATTTCAGGACAGCCTAGCATATTGTACCACAACGTCTAGCATGAGAATGGAGGTAGAGGCGGTCACTGCATCTTCCCAGTGGCTAGAGAACAACATGCATACATAAGTCGTAATTTTAACAGACTCTGAAAGCATGTTGAGAAAGGTGAAGACATGGATGATTCGAGCCAAGTGGCAAGTTTCACTTGGAAGGTTACAGTTAGTGGATATTTTTTCCAAGCCCTGCAAGCAAATTGGGGAATGAACAGGCAGATGGATTGGCTGGGTCAGCACATTTAGGTGGTGAAATGATACATGACAAGGCAGATGTGGTCAAGGCCCTTTGGGAACAAGTAATGAAGTTAGAAGATACACTGGATTATTATGGATTATTAGAGAATGCTACACCTGGGTGTGACCGAGTCCTGTGATGTCTTCCCTCAACTCAACTCAAGCAGCCTATATATCATCCTACCAAAAAATCAGTCAACGAGTCGGTCATGCAATCAACCGACGAGTCAGTGATGCAGTCAACTAACCAAGTATTCAAACTATCATTCCTCCAGTCAACTATCCAGTCAATCAACCAGTTAAGTAGCCTACTAACTAAACAACCTACCAACCTACCTATCAATCAAATTCTAACTAAACTCTCAGCCATCGGGTCTTTTACAGAACCTTGTTCTCGTCACGGCACGACTGATAGTCTGTCCTTTTTACCAGCCCAGCGGGTTTTAATATGCAGTGCATCTTCAATGTCTTGTGCCCACAGTCGCTGAGGTTAGTCTCTGTCTTGTTTTCCGGAAACTTTACCCTCCATTACCGTTATCTCCCCAGGCCACTGTGACTTTTAATATGGCAATAATACCTCAGCTTTCGGGACAGAATGTTGTTTATGAGCCAATTCTCCTCAATGCTCAGCAGATTATGTAAGGTGTCAGTTTTTCCCTTCTTCTTGTTCAACAATATTATTGATATAATTATGCAGCATTTCAGTTCAAAAGCTTCCTTTTTTTTTTCTTTAAAGATTCAATAAGAGTTCCGTGACTCGTGTCCAAAAGTTGCCAGGGGAAAAATGCAACATTTTTACTTTACCTTCTTGTAGGTATTGTGCAATGTATTCAGTCAGAGTACATTATTAGTGATCGATACCCTTTCGTTGATTTATTTCAGGACTTCTCAGAAAAGAGCATCATGGTGGTAAACAGGACTAAGCAGCAAATACTGGTACATATCAGCAACTAACAACAATCCGGTTAAGTTTTTCTCGGATAACCTGAGGTGGTATTCATAGACACTGTTGCTTCAGAAATGTAAGATTTGATCAGGCCTCTCAGAGATGGCTGTGCAGTTTCAAATATTTCATTGTTCCTAAATTGTAAGAATGATGAGACGAGAAGAGGCCAATAGATCTAGCCGATATTCAAAACTCATGGAAATGTAGACGGGAAAAGAAAGTGCAGCTGAGACCGCTAGTATTGGACCTGTGCTCTGGAAGTTCAAGATGGTAGGTTTATGGGATTTACCCGAGCGCTGTGATGCTTCTTATTAAATCATTAAACTCCAGTAAATAAGGGGACGGTCTTTCAGGCCATGAAGCATACTAAGTTTAGCTTATTTACTTACACATACTTATCAGCATCACGTGCCCTGCCGACTGGCGTAGGCGTTCATGCATCTCCACAGATCTCCGTACCTTGTCTTCTGGATCAGTTTCCCCAAAGCGGAAGATCAGTGCCGCCATCGCAATCTATCTGTCATCATCTCTCTCGGGTTTCCTCTCCTTCTACAGTTGATCTTCCCAGTTGTCACAATATTCTCCAACGCCTCCAGAGGGA